CATCTAGTTCGCGAAAAGCTCCAATCAGATGTCATCAAGATCCTCCATTTCTCCTCCTCCCATCAGCTGGCTGATATTTTCACCAAAACATTGCCACCATCTACCTTTTCTAAACTTCTCTCCATGCTTGGTCTGCAGATTCTCTGCCCACCAGCTTGTCGGGGGGTAACAATTGAAGAAAATTGCATTTATTCGCCAGCACCAAGGCCTGAACCAGAACCTGCTCAGTACATGATGAAACTCACAACTTCACCTGGAGTGACATCGTACAAGGGAAGAAGGTGGCGCCAAGACTGCCACAGTAACTTAGAATTCAAATGTCATCTTCTCCTTCTTTTACTTTGTACTTTTCACTCTGCTTTACCTTTCAAGCCTTGGACTGTAGCTATTGGAAACCATATATATTCTTCAAGTGAATGAGAACAACACAAGTTTTAGGGTTTTTAATTAATCTCTGATGTTATTATAGCAATGACAGCAGCCTGGCCTCACCATCGTAACCATTATCGACGTTAGAGCCTTCTCATGACGTTGTAGTGGTAAGATTCCTGATCCTCCCTTGTCCCTAAGCTCAATCGTTAAACACAGTTTAACCCAACGAATGCTCATGATTACCGAAGCTTCAACGATGGTGCCGACATTGTCGACTTCAACCAAACTCCAAAACCTTGATATCATCGCGCAGTGGACGATCTCCGGAGCATCCCGGTCTCGACGGAATCGAATTCCGACATTAGACAAGAGAGATACGAGCTCTGAAAGTGTGAGACGCAAATCGGATAGTTCAGGTACCAATACTGTCTATCCAAAAACTAAAAAGAATGAGTTCGTAATTTTCAGAAATATCCATATTAGTCCCCCATGTTTCTAGCACGAGCAGCTTAGTCTCTGTTGTTTTAAAAATTGAAAATGGACCGAAAATAGTATTTTCTCCAGATTATTATTAGTTTAGTTGATGTAAAATATATATTTTCGTGGTATAATAATCTTATAAATATGAGGAAATCGATAGGATGTTTTTATATTAATTTCATAATTTTCGAAGTTTTTTTCCTAATTTTAAAAATCAGTAGAAATAAGAATTTAATTAAGTAAAATACTTCGTGAAAGATTTAGTTAGGCTTGATAATTTTATTCGAAACCTTATATTCTTATGTTTATCCTCAAGTTATTTGATGATTTTTAGATTTGTTTTGTGATTTATAAAATTGAGATGATGTTGGTTTTAATTTACTAAATTACTATACAAATATATTTTACTAAATTGTTAAATTTTGAAAAATTAGAATATTTTTAGTACATTATAAAATTTAGAAATTCTGGCGTGGGAAATATATTTGTAAACTTCGTATTTGATAAAATTAAATAAGAAGAAGGGGTTAGTTAAGATATAAATTACAGTTAATAATTTTGGATTATATTTTGAGTTATTAATAGTCATAATTTGGATCTTATAAGAGGGATTTTTTTTTAAATTTATGAGATTTATCTAAAGAAATTTTGAGTTGATAGTAATAATTCAAGTCTTCGAAAATTTAGAAAAAAATCAAGTTTTTGAGAAAATTATTTAAAGAGGTTAAGGGTCCTAAGAATTTTGGGACTGAGCTAAGAGGATGAAAAATTTTGCAGAATACCTACTAAGGATAATTAATCGTGATTTATAGGATTAAGGAAGCGATCAAGTTAAGGGACTCTGCGTCCAACGAATTAAAGTATCGACACTTGAGAGATAAGTGTAAAGGGGGTAAATTCTACACCTTGCGTATTCTTTCAAGTATTACGAGTTTTAAGAATTTTGATGAAGTGTGTGCCGTTGTTTGATTATGCTTATGATTGATGATATGTTTTTTGTTTGAGCTATGTTTTGAAGTGAATGTGTATGAGTTATTATTTACTTTAAAGCTTTACGTTTATGAGTTATTGTCAAAGTTTAATAAACAAGTTTCTTTTTAAGAATTAGTTCACCTTCAAAGAAGGTGAAATAGTTTTAAGTGTTTTTAGTCATTAGCGTCAGTCCGTTGCCGTTTGAGATTTTGAGATAGAGCAACAGTTATTCTCTTGAGATTTTTAAGATGAGCAGCAGTTATGCTCTTGAGAATCGTGGTGAAAAGCCACCAAGTCACCCCTCACTGTAGGAAGCATAACCAAGATCTGATACCAATTGATGAACCGACGCTCTCGGTTAGTGAGTTGCTTGTAGCTCACAAGCGGAAGAACGACGTAAAGTGTCGAACGACTTTTAGGTTTATTATTTGAAAATTGGATTACTGTTGAACTTACATATTTATATAAGAAATAAACCTAATACATAAACCAGGTCCTCGAATCTCCAGTCTTCTTCTCCCCCCCCCCCCTCCCCGCAGCTCTCAACCTTCCTGCCACCATTTGAGTCCCTCCACCAGAAGGCTTTTTGAAGATCAACGTCGACGCAGCTGTTTGTGCCTTCGGGTGCTAGTCTGGGCTTGTTATCCGTGGGTCAGACGGACATGTGATGTTGGCTTTCGGGTTGCAGCATCAAGGAATAGTCAACCCTTTTCTGGCAGAGCTTCTAGCTTTCAGGGATGCTATCTCCTTTGTAGCCTCAAGCTCCTTGACCCACGTGATAGTCAAAGGTGATTCCGAAGTGGTCGTCAACCAAGCCCGTTAATGCGTCTTAGAAGACTCGATTGGTGGTCCGGTGTTACGAGAGTGTCTTCAGATCCTTAGCTCTTTGTTTGTTTGTATAGAGTTTAGGGCGGTACCTAGATCCGCCATCAGTGCTACCCATAGAGTGGCGCGTAAAGCACTGCTTTTGTCTCGTGTAGAGCTAGAATCTTTTGATTTTTCGGGTGGCTTCTTTAGAGTCTTTTAGGGGGTCCTGGGTAGAATTGTAAGCTTAACTATTATTTTCCATTGATATCACTCTGAAATAAATAAATAAAAAACCTAATACATAAACCTAATACTACCCAAACTCCTATTCCATAGGGGTGGCTATACGGTCCGGTCTGGTAAAATTGGCCCGAATTGATTCGGTCTCAGTCCGGTCTTTTCGGGAATATTAGGACCAAAGATTGGATTGGATACAATCCGGTCTTGATCTGGTCCGGTTTTGACACGGTCTGGTCTCAATTCAGTCTTGATTTTAGATTGAGATTGTGGAGATTTTAGTGGAGTTTTGGGTGTTGGGCTCTCTTATCCGGTTTTTATCCGGTTTTAGTCCGGTCCCGAACGATTTTTTACCTCAAATCTAAGCCCGAATATGAGATTGGATTGCTTGTTATCCGGTCCCGGTCCTGGTCCAGGTTATACGATCTGGTTTCGGGTAAAACCAAAAAGCCCGGACCAAATAGCCAGCCCTACTATTCCTACTCGGCAACCCCTCTACTTGCCACCCACGAAACCCAAACCCACAAGAAACCCAACACACCCTCTACCCCTAAAGCCTAACCCGAAAATCTACTCATCATAGAATGGATGATTTGGGTTCAGAAGTGAGTGATAAACATCCACAACAAGAGCCTGATTACACACACGTATCGGTGGCAACATTTTTTTCAGATGTCCTGTATGTGAGGGAGAACGGACGAAGTAATGACGGCGAAAAATCAAACGCTCTAATTGGCTAGATTTTTTATTTTTTATTTTGACTAGAAAATTATAATTTTTCTTTCCTATCATCACTCCTTTGCATGAAATCCAAAATGATGAATTTGACATCCTTACTGTCGAATTGGTAAAATTGGGTGCATCGAGGAAACAACAGAGCACATCCTTCGTCACTGTAGGAAGACCAAGGAGCTGTGGAGATAACTTAGACACTCTGTTAGAGTGCAGAACCAGAATACAAGCTCCGGGCATTGGTTAATCAACAACATCAAAGACGAAGAAAAAGGGGACTGATTTGGTATCATCCTTTTTCACCTTTAGAAGCAAAGGAATGAGGAAGCTATGGAGGGGAAGACCTACAACGAGCAAAACCTCATCCAGAGGATCCTTGCCTACTTCAACATTGTGAGAAATGCGCACAATTTTGACAAAAGAATCGAGGAAGGACAACAGCGTAGGAAGACGACCCTCAGCCTAGCATGGACTCCACCAAGTGAAGGGTGGATGAAAATCAACATTGATGGATCAATGATCACCGGGAACAAAGCAGCAGCTAGTGGATTGACTAGAGATCCTACTGGAAGATGCCACAGGGCTTCTCTATCAACCTCGGCACATGTTTCATCATGAGAACGGAGCTGAAAACTGTGGAAACAGGACTTGCTCTTGCTTGGGAGCTCAGCTTCAGGAAAGTATGCCTCTCTACTGACTCAACCACAGCCATCAACATCATTCAGAACAGAAATGAAGTGAATTACAGACATGGAATCTCAACACTGGAGATCAACCGACTCCTTGATCTTGATTGGGAAGTTTCTTTATTCCACGCCTTTAGAGAATGTAATTTTGCGGCTGATTTCCTTGCTTGTAAGGGACAATATCTTGATTTTGGCACACATCCTATCGATGAGTGCGATCCAAGTCTTTGCTACTGGGGTTAGTCATGATGTAATGGGAATTACCCGTGAACGTTCTATTATCAATGTGATCTAATACAACTTTTTGTCTTTTTTTTTTTTTACAAAAGAAAGGAAAAATTGAGTTAGATTATAATGGATTAACTCTTCCAAGGGATGGACGTTTTCACGGGCTTTTCTCCTCCTTTCCTCTGGCGGCCTGATGGGTTAGAATGGCCCAACTTGCATTTATATCCAATTCGATACAGGTAGGTCTATTACTCTATTGTCGATTTCATTTCTCCAAAGACTTCCTACATAAAAAGACTGGCCCATCAGTTTCGCACTCATAAGCCCAAAGAAGCAATAATGATATGCGAGACGTCGTTTTTGGTTTCCCGCCAATTCACCGGCGGCCATTTACTTCTCTTTCGCCCGCTCGAGCGAAACCTCCGGATCAGGATTTCCCGTATAAACGCGAAGGAAAACAAATCAAGGCAGAAAATAAATCAGTCACGACTCTTTCATGTCTCGCTTCTGAAAATTTAGTGTTCCCTTTCCCTCAAAAATTTAGTGTTCGCAGTTCCGCTCATGTAACCCTAACCAGAAGGTAATAGATGAATGAGCAGCAGCAGCTGAGGATTGAACCAGAAGAGAAGTGCAGGAAGCAGCTGCTGCAGGCTGAAGATGTTTGCAACCGAGGATCACAAGCCCAGGAGAAACGGCGGCGTTTTGCTCTAATCCGGAAAGCTGCTTTGGAGCAAAACGGAGACGTTTCACCAATAGAAGATAGCGATGGCTCTATACGATGTCGTCCTTCTTAGTTCGTCGATTGCAAGTTTAATTGTGTCTTGTGGACACGTGCTTTCGTTTTATTGGTTGTTTTTGATTAGTTAGTTAATACTGTAGATTAGCCGTTAGTTTCCACTTTCCTCTGTAAAGGCTGTTGGGTATATATTGAGAAATGCAGAAAACGAAGCTCTCAAGATTTGAGAACCTTCACCAAAAACCCTAGCAATACTCTGCTGTTCTTCTTTTCTTCTCATGGTATCAGAGCCTGGTTGGCTCTGGTAACCCAGATCCAGGTTTCTACACTACTCCTTTCCTCTTTCACGATTCACTGATGTCGATTCCAGAAGCTCAAGTTGATGGGTTTGTAGCTGATGAGGTAGAGACTGAAGATGAAATCGCCTCTGCCAACGATGCTACTCTCCCACGAACACCTCAGGGCGCCAACTCTCGACGTCAGATGGATCAATTTGTTCCTCCTGTGGTTCCTCGCTATGAAGATCCATATCTTAACCCCTACTACTTACCTCCTCACGATGGCGGCTTGACTACCATCATCTCTATGAAGCTCACTGACCAGAACTACAATCTCTGGAGTCAGGTAATGGAGCTAGCTCTCAGTACTAAGAACAAACTGTAGTTTGTAAATGGGTTGATTCCAGTACCTCAGATTGGAGATCCCATTTGGCAGTCATGGCATAGATGTGACAGCACAGTGCGCTGTTGGATCTATAATTCTCTTTCTGATGACATTGCTAACAGTGTTGTTCCTTACAAAGTGGCTAAAGATGTATGGGATAACTTGAAGGATAGATTTAGCCAAGCAGACAACATGAGAGTCTATGAGTTGAATGAACAGATTGGGAAGTGTGTGCAAGGAAATCTCACTGTTACTCAATACTACACTGCACTTACTACTAAGTGGCAGGAGTATAAGATGTATAGGCCTATTTCTTGTTGTCCATGCCCTAATAGTCCTTTTTTCACTGTTCAAAGATATCAAGAGCATGATCTTATCATTAAGTTTATGCAAGGACTTAATGATAACTATCAAACAGCCAGAACACAGGTTCTGATGAATGCTCAGTTGCCTCCTATTGAGTCAGTTTTCAAGCAAATGGTTCAATTGGAGAGACAAATGAAGGCTATGAGTACTGAAAAGGAAAAGGGACGTGTTGAATCAGTGGCTTTGATGGCAGGACAACCAAACAAGCAACAGAAGGGTGGACAAGGTGGAAGAAATCCCAGAGATTACAAGGATGGGAAAAAGTTTTGTAGGTTTTGCAAGAAGGAATATCACACCATCGATGAATGTTATAAGTTGAAGAACAAACAAAGCAAAGATGGTGAAAGTTCCTTTGCTGGATCAGTTGAAACCACACTGTCTGAATCAGGTGGTACTCACACAACTGGTTCTGGTGGAGGAAAGGGGGAAGCAGATTTGATGAGTCTGCTTACTCCTAACCAGTTTGAGCAACTCAGAACCATGCTCACCAGATCACCTTCTGCATCACCTTCACCACCAAATTCACCTGGAATGCATCATGCTGCTGTAGCAGTAAGAGGTTCACAGTCTGTTTCTCACTCAGGGAAGAAATCTGCTGGTTTCCAGGCTCCAGCAACTTATGCCTCTAATTCTTCAGGTAAACAAGCTCTCTCTACTATGGTTGAATCACCTCGTAGTACAGTTTGGGTCCTGGATACAGGGGCAACAGATCACATCATATGTGATAAGAGCTTCTTTATGAAGCATAGAGCTTTGAACCAAGTGTTTGTGAATCTACCAAATGGACAGCAAGTCCAAGCAACTCACATAGGAATTGTTACTTTGCCTTGTGGGTTATTCATTACTCAAGTTCTGTTTGTTCCTTCTTTTGCTTACAATCTTGTTTCTGTAAGCAAGTTAACTCAAAACCATCCAGTTTCATTAACCTTCAAATCAAACTTCTGTTTGATCCAGGACCTTATTACTCGGAGGAGGATTGGTTTAGCCCAAGTCAGTAGAGGTCTTTACCTGTTTACAGAGTCCAGGAGTCAGGAGTTTGAAGTTTCTAAGGATTCACAGAAGTTTGCAGCAGGAGTGTTTAATTTCCAGAACCAAGACTTTAACATCTGGCATGCCAGATTAGGACACCCTTCCTTGTCTAGATTGAGAGTAGTTAAACAAAGTTGTAATGATGTTTCCTTACCTTTAACACAACACTGTGAGGTTTGTCATTTGGCTAAGCAAAAGAGGTTGCCATTTCCTGTAAGCACCTCAGTTAGTACTCATGCTTTTGAACTTGTGCATGTTGACATTTGGGGACCATTGAATACAGTTTCTAGAAATGGTTTCACTTATTTTCTCACTGTGGTGGATGATTACAGTAGAGCAGTGTGGGTTTTCCTCCTTAAATCAAAGGCTGAGGCCAGGCCATCTCTTCAATCTTTCTGTGTTATGGTTCAAAACCAGTTTTCTGTTTCTGTTAAAAGAGTTAGAACAGATCAAGGCCAAGAGTTTCACATGACTGAATTTTATTCAGCTCATGGTATTGTTCATGAAATGAGTTGTGTCTATACAGCTCAACAAAATGGGAGGGTAGAGAGAAAACACCAGCATTTGCTCAATGTAGCTAGATCTTTGAAGTTTCAATCAGGTTTGCCTTTGGTTTTCTGGGAAGATTTTGTTCTTCATGCAGCATACCTGATTAACAGAACACCAACACCTATTCTAGACCACAAAACACCATTTGAAATCCTGCATAAAGTTCCCCCTGACTATATGAACTTAAAGGTGTTTGGCTGCTTAGCTTATGCCACAGCAGTAGAGGGTCACAAGTCCAAATTTGATCCTAGGTCTAGACAATGTGTGTTTCTAGGGATCCCTAATGGTATTAAGGGATACAAGCTGTTGGATCTAGCTACCAACAAGATCTTTGTTAACAGAGATGTTGTTTTTCATGAGCAGATTTTGCCTTTCAAAACAGGCACATCTGACTCAGATTCTACAGAAGAAGAGCTTCCCTCACAGCCTTCTTCTGTTCCTTTGTCTTCTTCAATTCCTGAAGAATCTTCTTGTTCTGATTCTTCACCAGCTCTTGAACCTGAGTTGACAGAATATCCTTCTCCTTCTGTCACCACATCACCTCAGTTTACTTCACCAGTTTTTCCTACTCCTACCAGTCCAGACACTTCAGTTAGGGGTTCTTCCTCTTCCTCTTCTGATTTGTCTCACACACCCACTCCTCCTCTCACTCCTCCAACCACACCAGTAGTACCCCTTAGAAAATCAACAAGGCAAGTAACATTTCCTAAGAAATATGATGATTTCTATGTGGGTTTGAACCAAGTCAGTTTTGGTCCCAAGTTGGTTATCCCTCAAGACTTGGCTCATCTTTCACCACAACAACAGCACTTTGCTTTAACCCTTGCAGCAGCCTTTGAGCCTTCCTGTTATGCTGAGGCTGCTCAAGACCCTAGGTGGAATGCAGCCATGATTGAGGAACTGCAAGCTTTATTTGATAATAATACTTGGGACATCACTGACTTGCCAGGGGGAGTGAAGGCAGTTGGTAACAGGTGGGTTTTCAGGATTAAGTACAATCCTGATGGAACAATTGAGAGATTTAAAGCACGTTTGGTTGCCAAAGGATACACACAAGTGTATGGCATTGATTATTGTGATACTTTCTCACCTGTGGCCAAACTGACTTCTGTGAAAATGTTGCTAGCTGTTGCATCTGTTAACAACTGGCATTTGCATCAAATGGATGTTAACAATGCTTTCTTGAATGGTGAATTGGAGGAAGATGTGTACATGGAATTACCAGAAGGCATGAGGGATAAGCCTGAGTACAAGGGAAAGGTTTGCAAGTTGAAAAAGTCTCTCTATGGTTTGAAGCAAGCCAGCAGGATGTGGTATGCTAAATTGACAGAATCTTTGCTTGCTAATGGATTCAGACAATCCATGTCTGATTATTCAATTTTCTTAACTGAGATTAAGGGACATTTGGTGGTCCTTATTGTCTATGTGGATGATATTGTGGTTGGTAGTGTGAATCTGGAAGCAGTAATTGCAGTTAAGAATATGCTGAAGTCCTTGTTTAAAATGAAGGACTTAGGAGAGTTGCAGTATTTCCTTGGCTTGGAAGTAAACAAAACTGCCACAGGGATTCATGTTTCTCAAAGGAAGTATTGCACAGAACTCTTGAAGGAGGCAGGATTTGATGAGTGCAAACCTGCAAAAACCCCTTCCAGCATAAAACAGGTCCTTTCAGCCTCAGATGGTGACCCTTTTCTAGAGGTTAGCAAGTTTAAACACTTGTTGGGACAGTTGCAGTATCTGACAAGTACTAGACCAGACATAAGCTTTGCTGTTCAACAGCTTTGCCAATTCCAAGATTCTCCAACCACAGTTCACTATAAAGCTTTGCAGAGGGTGTTTAGGTACTTGAGTAATTCACCTGGTCAAGGCTTGTTCTATTCCAAGGATTCTGCTGTGCAATTAACAGGGTATAGTGATTCTGACTGGGCCACATGTCCTGATTCAAGAAGATCTTTGACAGGGTTTTGTGTTTTTCTGGGGACAAGTTTGATTAGCTGGAAAACAAAGAAGCAGAGTACAGTTTCCAGATCTTCCTCAGAGGCAGAATATCGGGCTTTGGCTCAGCTCAGTTGTGAAGTTCAGTGGTTAGTGAGATTGCTTTCTGACTTTGGAGTTGCTCACTCTCAACCAGCCTTGGTTTACTGTGACAATCAGTCAGCAATTCACATTGCCAGGAATCCAGTGTTTCATGAGCGAACGAAACACATTGAGGTTGATTGTCATGTCATTAGAGAGAGACTGATGAATGGTTTGCTTGATTTGAGACATGTTTCAACTACCTACCAGTTAGCAGACATCTTTACCAAAAGTCTTGGTATAGATCGCTTTAACATGTTGATGTGCAAGCTGGGAGTCTCTGGAAGACACTCGCCAGCTTGAAGGGGGGTAATAGATGAATGAGCAGCAGCAGCTGAGGATTGAACCAGAAGAGAAGTGCAGGAAGCAGCTGCTGCAGGCTGAAGATGTTTGCAACCGAGGATCACAAGCCCAGGAGAAACGGCGGCGTTTTGCTCTAATCCGGAAAGCTGCTTTGGAGCAAAACGGAGACGTTTCACCAATAGAAGATAGCGATGGCTCTATACGATGTCGTCCTTCTTAGTTCGTTGATTGCAAGTTTAATTGTGTCTTGTGGACACGTGCTTTCGTTTTATTGGTTGTTTTTGATTAGTTAGTTAATACTGTAGATTAGCCGTTAGTTTCCACTTTCCTCTGTAAAGGCTGTTGGGTATATATTGAGAAATGCAGAAAACGAAGCTCTCAAGATTTGAGAACCTTCACCAAAAACCCTAGCAATACTCTGCTGTTCTTCTTTTCTTCTCAGAAGGGAAATTCAGTACGCATGGCGGCAGCCCAGGTTCGATTAAGCGCATTCCGAGCATCCACTTCCGCCACCGGACGGCCGAGCGCCTCCGCTACTTCATCTTTTCCTTCACCGCCATCGAAGACTACAGCAAATAGGTCAGAAACTGAATTCAATTTTCTCTCGTACAGCTTCGTTGCGTTCTCTCCCTACGGGCCACAATTGTGTTCCCCCGAATTGAATCATTCAATTCTAGCTTAGCGAATTGGGATTTGATCGCTGATTCTGATGGTCTCACAAAGTTGTAGTTTCGTTATTTCATGCTACTGTATGTCGATCCAATTTCGTCGCTTTAATCTCTTATGACTCTTCCGCCCACTTGTTTTAATTAGATATGAAACCCGATCCCCTCTACTTCCGGCGCCGAGCGCCTACACCGGGCGAAGCTGTGCGTTTTCCTCCTCTCCACGGTTGAGCATCGTCGGAAAAAGGTCAGCATCCCAAATTTCTTATTACCTCTTAAATCCTAGACTTAGACTTCTTGATTTTGCGTATGGCAATAGCAGCGAATATGTACTTGAAATTTGGTATGGTGCTGTTACTCAATCGAGTTCGTAGATGCCACTTGATTATTGAATGAGATCTTGTGTCAATTCTGCAATTTTTGTTAGCTGCCCTAATTTAGGGTTCTTAATGATTGAGATCAAGTTCAGTAGATTCTAATTACGTCAACAAAAAAAGAAATTACAACAATACGGTGAACAAATTTCCATTGTACGTAGAATGTCTGCGTATTACGCAGCTAAACATAAATGGCAGTAGTTACAGTTACAGTAGAATAGATGAATACATGTGATAAATAACAAGAGAAACATCTACAAACTAATGATGTCCAAGTACAGTTCTATGGCCATTTAGTCTTCTCTCTACTCATAGCTCAAACACCAGGTCCCAAACCCAACCATCTGTGATCTCTAGCACAACTTCCAAATCTACCACCGTTCCAGACTAGTACAAATTAACGATCATGACGATTTTGACTTCGAAAACATAGAATAGAAACCACACTTCCAAGTAACTCCAAACATGGAACTAGGAACATGGAGCAATAGTCAAATGGCATTGTTGTGTTTAAGCCATACCCATAGCGCAGCAACAGGAGCGCCATAGATATCCAGGTAGAAGAGCACATAGATACTAGGCACTAGGCAGTGTAGAGATTGGACGTGACGTCGACGCGCAGGGGAAAAGCTGGTGGTAGGAGAAAATAAATGATTTCGTTTCCCAACTTCCTTTATGGTAAGGCAAATGAAAAAGCAGGGTCAGGCTTGCAATCATGAGCCTACCCGTATGATATTGAAGCAGTAGATACAAACTGTAGAAGAGAGAGTTGAAAATCAGGAACTAGCTAGGGTTTTTTTTAGCTCCAAGTGAAAAGGGAATAGAGAGCTTTCAAGACCTACTACCCTACCTTCCGAGTAAATAAGAAAAGATGGGTGCTTCTGACAGGCAAAACAAGGTGGCAGACATGTATGTATGAATGAAGTGATGAACACATACGATTTGTAGAACTTAGAACTCCAGCACCCACATCACTTTTCTACCTAGTAGGCCACTTGGTTTATTGAAATTGCAGCAATCAATATGTGATGAACTACCATCTGGGATTCTTAGCTTTCCATACCTTTTTAAAGCCCAGATGCATAAAATAGACAGCAAACAATGTTCATATGGTATACAGTATCCATGATGAGTCAAATAAAGCCTTGGGTAGAAACGACTACTCGAGAAAAGAGCAGATGAACAGTTGTTAGCGTGGCCATAACACTATGCAGACTTAATACAGCATAAGAATCAAGAGAGATAAGAAAAAAATCGCAACGAATATGCAGTCTAGATCCGTTTCCTTGAAATGGTTTCGACACCATCTAATTAAGTAACCAGCTGAATAGTATGTTAGAGCTGTCTATGAGTTTAGAATATGGATCGGTGGAAAGGCGAAAACTTGAGTGGGAAACTGCGTTACCTGGAATCTTGATGATCTCTGCATCTTACCTGGGTGATGTCTAGCAAAAGAGAGGTAGCTGGGGGATGAAGGGGAAAGTAGCAGCAGTAAGATCACGAAGGTTTTACAAAGAGAGACCAACAGAGCTCTGTTGGCAGTATGCCCACCTCCATACAACTAAGAGAGAAAGTGAGAAGGAGGTGGACAGAATGCCAATGAACTCCGTAAGAAACCCTTTGCCAAACCCCAATGAAACAAGTAGAATTCATTCCATTCGTTCAGGACTGTGATAGTCCTTCCTTAACTGCGAGGCACAAACTACATGAGTAGGAGGAGAGGAGAGCAACACAGCTAACAGCCCAGCCCAAGCTTTTGATGAATGAAAAAGATAGGAGGGAGAGAGATGGGAAAACAGATGGGGCTTTTCTCCTTCTATTTATGAGGTGCGTGGATGGTTGCACAGTAAATATGAGAGAGAGGGAGGTGGGTGTAATTAATTGGAAATTGGAGAAAGGGAGGAAGTGAGAGAGAGGACAGGAACCAGGAAAGAGAAGAGGTAATAAAATATTGAGATTAGACGGTTCATTCTCCTCTTCCTTCCTTCTTCTGTAAACTAAACTCTATTATCGAAACAGGATGGATGGATGGATGGAGGGCATGAAGCATGATGATGATGGTGGTGAGGAATACGCATATGGGATTGACAGGTAGACAGATAGAAGAGAAGAGAAGGATCATCATAGTTATTCCCCTCCCTGCTCCTCTCTCTCTCTCCTCGTTTCTGGTGAAATTTTTAGCCCCTCTCTCTCACTAGCTAGCCTCCTTCCTCTCCCTCCAAAAACAAAAAGGTTCCCTTTTTTCTCTCGTCCTCTTTCTTCTTCAATCTTTCTCTCTCCCTTGGCCATATCCTCCCTCCCCTCGTTTCTGATGCCAAGTCCACCGCACCGCAGCAGCACACACATGCAAAACGCAGTCTCTCTCTCTCTCTCTGCTTTAACGGAAGAGAAGAAAGAACGTTGAAAGGCATTTGTTTCGTTTTCCCTTTGAGATTACGGAGGGACCAGACAATGACAACAAACCCAAACCCAAAAGCAGCAGCGCAAAAGAACGGAGCCGCGAGTCAAACAAAAGTTTCTTCTCCTAATTAATTTAGGAGGGCTAATTTTACTAGTTAGTCAATTAACTTAATGCTTAGTACAGCTCATCCCGACGTCATCCTTGAGTAATTCGGTGAAGGCGTGAACCTGTATAGCCAGTCACACAGTGTCTAGGGATGGCAATGGGTCGGGTCAGGTCGGAGACGGATAGTGCATATCCGTTACCCTACCCAAAGTAGTTCGGGTTTTACCCATGCCCATACCCACATAAGAAACGGGTAGAAAATCCAAACCGTGCCCATACCCGTTCGGGTTTCGGGTATCCGCGGTTATCCATGGATAATAGTTTTTCTTTATAACTCCAACCAATATGTTAATATCTACACGTATTCTCACGTTACGTAAGACGAAAAGTACGACAATAATTCACTAGAATGAATAAAATTAATTAAAACAACATAATTTCATAAACAAAATGATATTTATATGCTAAATATAGTATGTTAGAGAAAAATATTGATTATTTCTAGACAAAATACTAGGGGTGGCTATACGGTCCGGTCCGGTTAAATTGGCCCAAATTGATCCGGTCCAGTCCGGTTTTTTTGAAAATATAAGGACCGAAGATTGGATTGGATACAGTCCGGTCTTGACCCGGTCCGGTCCCAATTCGGTCTTGATTTTATATTGAGATTGTGGGAATTTGAGTGGCCTAAGGCCTAAAAGGGTGAGGAGTTGGTTAAGTTTTGTACTAAGTGCAAAGGTTTGTGACCGTTTATGCAAATTACCTTTAAGTTTTGGGTGTTGAGCTCTCTTATCCGGTCTTTATCCGATTTTTTACCTCAAATCTAAGCCCAAAGATTGGATTGGATTGTTTACAATCCGGTCCCGGTCCGGTCTTGGTCCGGGTTATACGGTCCGGTTTCCGGTTTTTCATCCGGTCCCGGTCCAAATAGCCAGCCCTACAAAATACATATGTATGTGTATAATCGGGCGGGTTCGGGTTGGATAGTGAGAAAACCATGCCCACCCATTACCCACAATATTCGGGTTCGGGTTTTACCCGTACCCACTAAAAGTCCTTCGGGTTCGGGTTTTACCCTACCCGATTAGGTCGGATTCGGGCGGATATCCACGATTACGGATATTTTTGTCATCCCTACACAGTGACGGTCTATTAGTATTAGCTGAGCTTTATTGTCTTCACAAACTGTGGTATGGTTTGGCATCAACGCTGAAACTCCATAAACGTCGACGAAGTTAAAGCCAATTCGTATATGGCTGGGGAGATGGGGGTAACGAGTCACATGTGATACACTAATCTCAAGTAGGAGTGGCTATACGGTTCGGTCCAGTTAAATTGGCCCAAATTGATCCGGTCCAGTCCGGTTTTTTTGAAAATATAAGGACTGAAGATTGGATTGGATACAGTCCGGTCTTGACCCGGTCCGGTCCCAATTCGATCTTGATTTTATATTGAGATTGTGGGAATTTGAGTGGCCCAAGGCCTAAAAGGGTGAGGAGTTGGTTAAGTTTTGTACTAAGTGCAAAGGTTTGTGACCGTTTATGCAAATTACCCTTAAGTTTTGGTGTTGAGCTCTCTTATCCGGTCTTTATCCGTTTTTTTACCTCAAATCTAAGCCCAAAGATTGGATTGGATTGTTTACTATCTGGTCCCGGTCCGGTCTCGGTCCGGGTTATACGGTCCGGTTTCCGGTTTTTCATCCGGTCCCGGTCCAAATGGCCAGCCCTAATCTCAAGAGCTCTTTCGGTGTATGGATGGTAATTTGGACCCGCCTTATTGTTGCGGGGATTACTCAATATGATTTGCCGCGTACAGCTGGAAATTTGTATATAGTTCAGACTCGTTCACCCCGTCATGCGCTTGTTGTTGGCTCAATTTCTTACATTATTTTTCAACTAGTTAGACTTGAATCTTTCAACTAATTATACTCAATTACTCATTCTATCAGTACTATTCTTCATTTATAAAATGTTTTTCTTCGTTTTATTGTAACTAATAAAATTTTGCGTGTATTTTTATCAAATAACACCAATACTATAAAGCATTGTAAAACTCCTTTAATCCCGATACGTGATTTCATGCGAACGAGGTCATGGTGGGT